GTTATGTGTACCTAAGTAAGAGGGCAATTAAATCAGAATTTTATACGATTCTATAATTCACAAACAATTATTCCCTGCCCCCTAGTCCTAGTACTTACTCATTTTAGTTTACTCTGTCTCTTGTACTAAATCAATCTTTGCCCTCATACCAATTTCCTAGCTTGTAACCGCAACATTATTCAAGGTTTATTCATGCATACAACTAGGCTTTTAAATTCTTAACTCATGCATCAATCCCAATTTTTACCATTTCCCCTACAAGGCTAAGAGGGGCGATTTAGGGCCTTTCAACATACTTTTCCCCTTGGCTTTGACACATGCAAGGCTTGGTGCTCTATTCTAGCTCATGAGACAATCTTACCACGGATGAGGGCTATTTTTTTCCAATCCCCAAAATCAATTTGTTGGCATGCATACATTGAGGTTTACAGTTAGGCCAGAACTAGAAGAAAGATTTCAAAACAGAATTTCAATTCTTTGTTCACTACAATTTCCAAGTAATCTATATGCCTACTAATCCTAGACTTCCTTCGATTTCCATGACTCATAAAGCAACTAATTTTCCTAACTTCACACTATTATATTAACTTGTTAACAGCAATAAAATCCATAGTTTCATTAGCATACAGAACCGGTTTTGAGAACCATTCCCTAAGAACCCACAATTTTCATTTGGTTAAATTATTTGCTTGGCTTATGCAGGATTCTGTAACACCCCGTATATATCCGGTAATGTTATCATACTATCGTATTAAGCAGTGCTTAATTAAAAATGCGGAATATCTTTTTCTTTTCAATTATGATGTCATAAACATTACCAACTTGCTTATTAATCAATTAATAAAGCATCGCCTGTATGTAATTGCAATAAAACAGCTAACTAAAATACCTCATAACATAGATAATATAAGTGTGTCTCTATAAATCACGGGACTACCACAAGTAGGCCGGACCAACTAGCAGGTTATACAACTCCAATCTAAAAGTACTAACATAAGGTGTCATGGACAATCCTTATGCTCACTCAAATAAGGCAACAAGCCCAACATCAGTCTCAACAACAACATAAACATAAATAGCGGAAAACATAAACAGCATCCAAATCCAGTCATGGCAGCAATACAACATAATATCATAATTAGCTAAGCTCTGGCCTCCTGCCGCCAGAGGCATCAGTCACCATACTACCTGAACCTGAAATAAGCATTCTCCAAACGTGGGGTGAGATCTTTAAACAAGAAATCTCAGTAAGACAAGGGGTCCTCAAGGATCTTCCACCCCAAGCTCACTTACATGTGCAATATAAGTTTAAAAGCAGTTCATCAATATCATTTCTAAAACTGTGCAATGCAACAGATAATCATGTCATGTGTGTCAATTCTATTCTACTGGCCAGAGAAATGCAGGATTTGTATACGCCAAATGCCCACACATAGTGCAAGACGCCACTTGCATTCACCCCGGATCACCATATCGTATGACGCCACATACTCAGGCTTACCGTCAAGATGAAACAACACATGCATATTAAAAGCCATTACACATAAAGCTCAACAGGATTTCAAATATTCAAAGCATGTAACACAGCATGCATATAACCACACCCCCATGGGACATGGTGGAACCACAACATGGCTAAACCGAGGACACGAAAGCTTACCTTGCAAGCTAACACCCAAAGCCAAGAGTCCACAGCTCAAAGTCCAAACACAGCAGATTCCCAATCTGTTATGGAACAATACTATATCAATAATAATGCACCACAAGCATATAACTTAAAGACAACGCATTTCCTTTACGTTTTACGTCTTAAGGCTCCATACCAAGCCATAAGCCCTTAATCCCTTGATTCTGACTTAGTTCATTAATTACAAAAGTTCAACTTCATCAATCTAGGGTCCATAAACCCCCAATAGCCTACTGTACACACAGCACAGCTACTGTTCTACGAAACCCCCGAATATCCGGATATTCCTCGGGACCATATCCGGATATGCAATATCCGGATATCTCACTGTACATATCCGGATATACAATATCCGGATATCCAATATCCGGATATCCAAATCCCATATCCGGATATCACATATCCGGATATTTCTCGGGCAGATATCCGGATATTTCACGACAGAATGCAGAAACTGCATTTCGTGAAGATATCCTTCCAAGGTTGGGTTTTTACTGATTCTAGACACTTAAGCATGCATTTCTAGGTGTGTTTGACCAACCCCAACATTAAGTTATCATCTTTTAACCTTTACATGCATCAATGTACCATTTTTAAGCTCAAAGCCTCATGATCAAAGGTGATGAAGTTTACCCAAGCTCAAACTCAGAAATGAAGGCTCTTGGAGCTCACAAGAAACTCCTAATGGTTCTGTCTCAACACTGTGCACGAAAATGTACACCAAGAAGGGTCCTTTCTTCACAAAGGTTGACACTTTGAAGCTCACAAGCTAAGGAGAAAGCTCCAACACCACAAACCACCAACTCAGCCCCTTCACAACCACGAAACAGCCCCCCAACACTCAGAAACAAGGCCTCCAACACTCTCCCAAGGTCACTCTCACTCACACCAAGTGTTTAAGAGAAGAGAATTGAAAGGAAATGGCTTCAAACCTCAAGAATGGAGAAGAGAAGCCAAAAACAGTGTTTGGAAAATCTGGTCAGCCACCCTCTACGCATAGGAGTCTGTTTTCTAGGGTTTTGTGCCCTCACATAAGGCTTATATAAGCGGTTAAGTTTCTAACACACAGTATTAACTTTAATTTCTACGCTTAGCATTTTAATCCCAAACTTTAGATCAGAAACTACACATTTTTTCCTAGAATTATCATATTTTTCTTATAATTTTCGGAGCACCTTTTCGTTACGCGCTTTTCAAAGCCAGTACCGGTTTCTAGCACCATTTCTCATTATTTGGACTTGAAACTCGTTTTACAAGTCCTACATATTATTCTAGTAATCATCATGCACTTATTATAATTTTCTGGGATACTTTTTTGGTACACATTTATACCGACTAGCAGAACCGATATCTGCACTTTTCTTCCGAAAAGCGACTTTCAGCTTTATAAATCACTTACTATAATTATTAGAGCCTCATAATAATTATTAGGATCAATTATGGAATCATTACCTAATTTTGCATAATTAATTGATTAAAATTTCTTAATTAACGGTGCAGGTTCTTACATTCACCCTACCTTTTTAGGATTTTGTCCTCAAAATCAGAATATACCTGTCTTGGAAGTCGGGATACTGTCGGAGAAGCTCGTCCTCTCGCTCCCAGGTACACTCCTCAGGAGTTCTTCCTGACCATTGCATTTTGACCACCGGAATAATCTTGCTCCTCAGCTGCTTCTCGCCACGATCGAGAATCCTTAGTGGTCCGACGGGAGTCTTTAGGTTCTCCCGAACCTCCACATCATCAGGTTGCACCACGTGCGACGGATCTGCTATGTACTTCCGAAGCTGAGACACGTGAAACACGTCATGGATGTTAGCCAGGTTCGGAGGCAAGGCAAGCCGGTAGGCAACAGGTCCTACTCTACCAGGAATCTGGTATGGCCCAATAAACCGCGGGCTCAGCTTCCTCACTCTGAGTTCCCGTCCAACACCGGTGACAGGTGAAAGCCTCACAAACACGTGCTCACCCTCACCCTCACCCCAACCTCAGACCAGCAGGTAGGTGTACGACACCTCCTACCGTAGAGCGCCTCGTAGGGTGCCATGCCCAGGCTAGCATGAAAACTGTTGTTATACGAAAACTCCACCAATGGAAGGTACCTATCCCATGCCGAGCTCTGCTCCAACGTGAAAGCCCGCAACATGTCCTCCAAAGTCTGGATAGTCCGCTCAGTCTGTCCATCAGTCTGAGGGTGATAGGTTGTACTCAATCTCAACTGAGTACCAAAAGCTCCCAGCAGCGCCTCCCAGAACCGAGATGTGAACTTCGGGTCCCTATCACTGATGATACTCTCGGGCACCCCGTGAAGCCTCACGATCTCGCGAACATACAGTTTGGCCAACTGCTCTGTAGTGAAGCTCACCTTCACTGGAAGAAAATGGGCAGACTTTGTCAATCTGTCCACAATGACTCATATCGAGTCACAGCCAACCTGAGTCTTCGGCAAACCCACAACGAAGTCCATGGAAATGCTCTCAAATTTCCACTCCGGAATCTCAAGAGGTTGAAGCTTACCAGACGGCTTCTGGTGTTCAATCTTCACCTTCTGGCAGATCAAACACTTGGACACATACACAGCTATGTCCTTCTTCATTCCTGGCCACCAGAAATTTCTCTTCAGGTCTTGGTACATCTTTGTAGCACCAGGATGAACAGTAAACTGTCCCTTATGGGCCTCCGCCATAACCTCTTCAGTCAAGGGACCTCGAGGAGTCACAATACGCTTCTGAAACAACAAAAGTCCATCCTCATTCCAAGACACACCGTCTTGGTTCTTCACGTAGTCGAGACACTCTCTCTGTACTTGAGCCTCTTGGATCTTGTCCATAAGCTCATTCCAGACTCTCACAGTCTCCATCTCGAGAAGTGAACCCCCAAACAAGGTGGTCACCTTCAGATCTCGAAACTTCTCTATGAGGTCGAAGTCACCCATCGTCAAACTGGATAGACTCACAGATTTTCGACTCAAAGCATCAGCTACCACATTGGCCTTGCCAGGATGGTACTTCAACTCAAAGTCGTGGTCCTTCAGAAACTCCATCCACCTCCTCTGCCTCATGTTCAGCTCCTTCTGATCAAACAGATACTTCAAGCTCTTGTGATCACTGAACACCGCAAACTGCATGCCAAACAGGTAATGCCTCCAAATCTTGAAAGCAAACACAATCGCAGCCAACTCCAAATCATGAGTCGGGTAGTTCTCCTCATGAGGCTTCAACTGCCTCGAAGCAAAAGAAACAGCTCTACCAGACTGCATCAACACACAGCCTAGCCCCTTTCTAGAAGCATCATAGTAAAGCTCAAACTGCTCCTCAAGATCAGGAAGGATCAACACAGGTGAAGTAGTCAACTTCTCCTTCAACTCCTGAAAGCAATCCTCACACTCGTGAGTCCACACAAATGGAGTCTCCTTTCGGGTAAGGCGAGTCAAAGGGAGAACCATCGTGGAGAAACCCTTGATGAACCTCCGATAGTAACCTGCCAAACCTAAGAAGCTCCTCACCTCCGTAACTGTGTTAGGCCTCTCCCAATCCAGCACGACCTCAATCTTGTTGGGATCCACTGCAACTCCATCTGCTGAAATCACATGCCCCTGAAACTGACTGTTTTGAGCCAAAACTCACACTTAGAAGGCTTAGCATAAAGATTTTTCTCCTTCAACACTTGCAGAACAATCCTCAGATGCTCCGCATGCTACTCCTCAGTCTTGGAGTAAATCAGAATGTCATCAATGGAGACGATCACAAACTGATCCAGATACGGCTGGAAAATCCTGTTCATATAATCCATGAACACTGTCGGCGCATTGGTGAGTCCGAACGGGATCACCAAATACTCAAAGTGACCGTATGTCGAACGAAACGCGGTCTTAGGGACATCCTCCGGCTTCACCCGAATCTGATGGTATCCGGACTGGAGATCAATCTTGGAATACACGCAAGCACCCCTAAGCTGATCCAACAAATCATCAATCTGAGGAACGAGATACTTGTTCTTGATCGTCACCTTGTTCAACTGCCTGTAGTCGGTGCACAATCGCATTGTCCCATCCTTCTACTTCACAAAGATGATCGGTTCTCCCCAAGGAGACACACTCGGTCGGATGAAATCTTTCGCTGAAAGATTCTCAATATGCTTCTTAAGCTCAGCCAACTCCTGTGGCGACATCCGATATGGAGCTAAAGAAATCGGCCCCACACCAGGCAACAAGTCAATGGAGAACTCTATCTCCTGCTGTGGCGGAAACTCAGGAATCTCCTCAGGAAACACCTCGAGGAACTCCCCCACCACAGGAATGCCAGTGATATCCTTCTGTGTCCCACTCACCAAACCTCCCAACATGACATAACCAAATGCCCCTGCTCTCAAGGCCTTCCTAGCCAGCAGCAATGAAATATATAGCGAGGAACTAGCTGTGGAATCACACGGAGACATCACCACGCGCTTTGCACAGCAATCAATCAGTGCACAATTTCTAGACAACCAATCCATGCCCAGAATAATCTCCAAGTTGGCCATCGGCAATCCTATCAGATCCACCGAGAACTCACGGCCATCCCACTGAAACGCTACATCGCGATGTACAGTGGTAGAATCACATATTTCTCCGGTGGCGGTAGTCACCTGCAACGGTGGAGAAAGCACAGACATGGGCAACTCAAGCCCCAAAGCAATCGGGGTAGCAACAAACGAATGCGTAGCCTCGGAGTCAAACAATGCATCAACAACAACACCACCAATAGACATAGTACCTCTCACAAGGTTCGGAGCGCGGTCCGACTGCTGCCTATCCAAGGTGTACACACGCCCAACAAAAGGTGGCACTGCAGGTGCCGAAGTAGAAGCCATCGGAACCATCTGCAACGGAACTGCCTGAACAACTACAACTCTCGCCGTCGACGACGGACAGTCTCTAGAGAAGTGGCCCTCCTTGCCACACTGGAAGCAAACCAACTGCCCCGAAGCACAACGTCCCACATGCTCTTTTCCATATCCCGAACATCTCGGAGCGGAAGGAGGCCTAGCAGAACTCCCTTGTTGTGAAGCAGCCCTCTTGAACTGACCAGGCGCCTGCCTAGTCGCCAACTGCTTACCCTTGCCCTTCCCAGCAAACTTCTTGTCCTTCCAAGAAGTAGAAACAAGAGTGGAACTCACAGTCCCCTTGGTCTCGTCGACCTTGGCCCTCTTGGCCTTACTCGCTATGCAGACATCCTCAATGTCCTTACACTGCTGAACCAGTGTACCAAAGTCCCTCGAAGCAGCTCCAGCAATATGCTCAGCAATCACCTCACTAAGTCCTCTGCGGAACTTAGCAGCCAGAAACATCGGAGTAGGAGGAACCATCCGGAAGTGCGCAAACTTCACCAGCTCATTGAACTTGGCCAGGTACTCGTCAACAGACATCGAGCCCTGAACCAGTCTATCAAACTCCCCCTGCTTCCTCTCCTGCGCATCGTAGGGAAAGTATCTACCCAAAAAGCACTCCTCAAAGAATGGCCACATCATGACACGACCCTGCATCTCATAAGCACGAGAGGTGTTCGTCCACCACTCATGGGCATCGCCCTCCAGCATGGAAGTCGAGAACATCAGCTTATGTGGGTCTGTACACTGCATGACCCAAAATATCTTGTCTAGCGACTCCAGCCATCTTGCAGCAGCAATAGGATCCAAAGACCCCTCAAACACAGGTGGCTTATGCTTCCTGAAAGCATTCAGCCGGCGATCTATCACATCACGATACTCAGCAGGCTTTAAAAGAGTCACCCTCGTCTCCGCGACATGAGCAGCACTGCCAAAGTGACTCAGGCTCTCATCCTGAACACTAGGTGGAGGCGGCGGCGGTGGTGGCGGTGGTGGCGGTGGTGGCGGAGGTGCCTGGCCTACAGCAGGACCAGCCTTCATCTCCTCCAACATGACTCTCATCATAGTCATGTTCGCCATCCTGTTCGCCTCGAGGAAATCCTCAGTGGTCCTCCGGTTCGCTTCACGAACCTCTTCTGCGGCTATCGAGTTTGCCTCGCGAACAACATCCGTCATTGCCGCGTTGGCCAATCTAGTGGCCTCCTGATCGGCTAATCTAGCCGCCTGCATCTCGGCCAATGCAGTCAGGATAGGATCGGGTTGATCCTCAGAAGTCTCTCGTGTTCTCCCAGACCTTTCCATGACTCTGCACAAGTTACACAAATTATGAGTTGATCAGGCCCACGCAATGCGATTACATATGCATTATCATAATAAAATTCGACGGAGTAAACACACAAGACAGACACAACCAAACATCCTAACTATTGCAATACATACAGGCTTTTCCCTCGAACCATTGCTTTGATACCATAAATGTAACACCCCGTATATATCCGGTAATGTTATCATACTATCGTATTAAGCAGTGCTTAATTAAAAATGCGGAATATCTTTTTCTTTTCAATTATGATGTCATAAACATTACCAACTTGCTTATTAATCAATTAATAAAACATCGCCTGTATGTAATTGCAATAAAACAGCTAGCTGAAATACCTTATAACATAGATAATATAAGTGTGTCTCTAGAAATCACGGGACTACCACAAGTAGGCCGGACCAACTAGCAGGTTATACAACTCCAATCTAAAAGTACTAGCATAAGGTGTCATGGACAATCCCCATGCTCACTCAAATAAGGCAACAAGCCCAACATCAGTCTCAACAACAACATAAACATAAATAGCGGAAAACATAAACAGCATCCAAATCCAGTCATGGCAGCAATACAACATAATATCATAATCAGCTAAGCTCTGGCCTCCTGCCGCCAGAGGCATCAGTCACCATACTACCTGAACCTGAAATAAGCTTTCCCCAAACGTGGGGTGAGATCTCTAAACAAGAAATCTCAGTAAGACAAGGGGTCCTCAAGGATCTTCCACGCCAAGCTCACTTACATGTGCAATATAAGTTTAAAAGAAGTTCATCAATATCATTTCTAAAACAGTGCAATACAACAGATAATCATGTCATGTGTGTCAATTCTATTCTACTGGCCAGAGAAATGCAGGATTTATATACGCCAAATACCCACAAATAGTGCAAGACGCCACTTGCATTCACCTCGGATCACCATATCGTATGATGCCACATACTCAGGCTTACCGTCAAGATGAAACAACACATGCTTATTAAAAGTCATTACACATAAAGCTCAACAACATTTCAAATATTCAAAGCATGTAACACAACATGCATATAACCACACCCCCATGGGACATGGTGGAACCACAACATGGCTAAACCGAGGACACGAAAGCTTACCTTGCAAGCTAACACCCAAAGCCAAGAGTCCACAGCTCAAAGTCCAAACACAGCAGATTCACAATCTGTTATGGACCAATACTATATCAATAATAATGCACCACAAGCATATAACTTAAAGACAACGCCTTTCCTTTACGTTTTACGTCTTAAGGCTCCATACCAAGCCATAAGCCCTTAATCCCTTGATTTTGACTTAGTTCATTAATTACAGAAGTTCAACTTCATCAATTTAGGGTCCACAAACCCCCAATAGCCTACTGTACACACAGCACAGCTACTGTTCTACGAAACCCCAGAATACCCGGATATTCCTCGGGACCATATCCAGATATGCAATATCCGGATATCTCACTGTACATATCCGGATATACAATATCCGGATATCCAATATCCGGATATCCAAATACCATATCCGGATATTTCTCGGGCAGATATCCGGATATTTCATGACAGAATGCAGAAACTGCATTTCGTGAAGATATCCTTCCAAGGTTGGGTTTTTTCTGATTCTAGACACTTAAGCATGCATTTCTAGGTGTGTTTGACCAACCCCAACATTAAGTTATCATCTTTTAACCTTTACATGCATCAAGGTTCCATTTTTAAGCTCAAAGACTCATGATCAAAGGTGATGAAGCTTACCCAAGCTCAAACTCAGAAATGAAGGCTCTTGGAGCTCACAAGAAACTCCTAATGGTTCTGTCTCAACATTGTGCACGAAAATGCACACCAAGAAGGGTCATTTCTTCACAAAGGTTGACACTTTGAAGCTCACAAGCCAAGGAGAAAGCTCCAACACCACAAACCACCAACTCAGCCCCTTCACAACCACGAAACAACCCCCAACACTCAGAAACAAGGCCTCCAACACTCTCTCAAGGTCACTCTCACTCACACCAAGTGTTTAAGATAAGAGAATTGAAAGAAAATGGCTTCAAACCTCAAGAATGGAGAAGAGAAGCCAAAAACAGTGTTTGGAAAATCTGGTCAGCCATCCTCCACGCATAGGAGTCTGTTTTCTATGGTTTTGTGCCCTCACATAAGGCTTATATAGGCGGTTAAGTTTCTAACACACAATATAAACTTTAATTGCTACGCTTAGCATTTTAATCCCAAACTTTGGAATCAGAAACTACACATTTTTCCAAGAATTATCATATTTTTCTTATAATTTTCGGAGCACTTTTTCGGTATACGCTTTTCAAAGCCAGTACCGATTTCTAGCACCAGTTCTCATTATTTGGACTTGAAACTCGTTTTACAAGTCCTACATATTATTCTAGTAATCATCATGCACTTATTATAATTTTTCGGGATACTTTTTTGATACATATTTATACCGACTAGCAGAACCGGTATCTGTACTTTTCTTCCAAAAAGTGACTTTTAGCTTTATAAATCACTTACTATAATTATTAGAGCCTCATAATAATTATTAGGGTCAATTATGAAATCATTACCTAATTTTTCATAATTAATTAATTAAAATTCTTTAATTAACGGCGTTACGGATTCCATATACTTGTAGTGTGTTGTCCACTCAGATTAATTAAGTACAAGATTACAATTTTTCCTCTCTAACACAGCGAATAATCCAACAGCATAGGTGAGTTATTTTTCCACATTCCCAAAGGTTAGTAATACAGTTTACATGTACTAAACTACCAAAAGTTCTATGGCTGACTCGAAACAGGGGGAAGTGACAAAACAGAAATTTATCTTCCTATAGTCCACATACAGGACGAATAGAAGGGGTACAAGAACCTAGTTTTTTGTGGTTACCTCTTTGACTGCACACCGAGTCCACCAGCGAACAAGGAGTGGCCCATCACCCTCCAACATCCCAAGAAGTCAAAATCTAAATGCATGCCTTGGCAAGCAGATCCCAATCAAAACCGAGGTGGTTGCATGCAGATGGAAATACCCAGTTAGGACCGATCCAATTCTTACAAAACAGGAAAACAAGGGAGTTAACTCACCTCCATGAAGGTTGGTCTTCGGCCAACAAAGAAGAAAATGCAGAATGAGCTTTCTGTTGCAGCTCCCTAATTGCTGCTGCTCGACTGAAGCAAGGGAGGAATATGGAATGTGCTTAAGTGTTTCTGCTCTCTCTCCCCATGGGTTCACAGTTTAGAGAAGATAATGGAACAAAGGGATGCAAACATGGTTCCTTGTCACGCATAGGGAGAAGAAGGGAGGCTAAGGTGATGTGGGATTTTCTTGGTGTTCTTCCTACACTAGCTCACTATTTTGATCATATAAAAAGGGTTAGTTTTCTATTCTGAACCTCTCCAACGCGCAAGAAAGAAGATGACCGTAGGCTGTTTGGCTAGGCAATTAGACATCAATGAAGAATTGTTCCCTCACGCTACCAACGCACAAGGGACACAAGGGGACAACAACTCGGACAGGTCTCTCCCTCTCCTTGCTAAGCGTACCAGAATGAAGAAGTCATTGTGAGATGGCGTTGAGTGAGTTTCTAAAAAATGAGAGGTGGGAAATCTGGTTCCCTTCCTTTTTACGGTGCTAAGGGATAATGAGATAGAATAGATAATTAATTTAATTCTTGGCCCAATGGGAGACAACCACACAGATTACATAAAGATAATTTGAAAGTATGTTGAAGAATATGACCAAGGAATTGTTGGGCCGCCTAGTTACTCATGGAGGCTTGGGCCGTAACATATTAATATTATTTGAGTCCAAATTCAACTCCTAATGGACCTCATTTCATGTGCCCCCCTCCCCCCAAGTAGTAGCTAAGGTTTCTTCATACCTTGTAGTTAAATTAATTCTCTCCTATCTTAGAAATTAACTCATGCATTATTATTTTATGTATCCTCTAATTATTAACTAAGGGTTTATTCTTTGTAATAAAATTAATCACATACTTTTAATGAGTACTCATATAGTTCTAAGTAGTGTTATGCTTTCTATATATTATAATTAAATTATTCCTATACTCATAACTAGAATTTCACATGCATAAAATAGGTACTCACCTTCCATGGTAATACCAATAATTCCCTAATTTGATTTATCTCCATCCTAGAACAAACATTTATATAATCCGAAGGCAAAGACTCTACCACATTCCTAATTGCAATTTAAATAGGTTCCTAATTAGACGGGATGCTACACTCTCCCCAACTTGTTTGGAAGTTTGTCCCCAAACTTCGTCTTACCATTCCAAAATCTGTCTAAGTCTAACGCTTAACACCATTACACCATGCCATACAGTTCACTGCATTCCTACAGCCAGCTATAAAGGTCATCAACATCTCAGAGCATTACCAACAAATTTGTACTTTACGTGATCATTAAATAATATAGATACAACACAATTTTGTTCGTACAGAAGGAATAAAAACAAAAATATCTTCCTAAGCTTAATCATGATACGAGCAATTTCCTGAGTTCTTTTTAAACATCAACAAATACCATAACACACAAGTGGAATGAAACGGACAAAAATCTTACTAAGCCAAGAGACTCCAGCTATGAAAAAACTGTAATAGAGCTCATGATTTTAGTGCACAATTAATAGACAACTAACCAATCCGTTTGCAAAACACTTCTTTACTTTATAAATTTTAATAATTATTACTAGTGTAGGCATAAGGGATTAACCTTATTTTCACCTGATTCAGAATTATAACTTATGAGGTAGAACATAACAATATAAAGAGGCTTCGCGATATCCCTATATCATCACTCACCCTTGACGTCACACCCTACTGCTACTCAATCGATCCTAAGTTTAAGGGTTTCCATAAAAATGCAATTTAACAAATCAGTGGCCCAAACCCAAAAAGTTCCTAAGAATGTAGGGGTTTATTCAAAATGAAGTACTATTACCTCCTATTACCTGCGCAAATATAAAGGCCAATTAACTAAGGTCTCCAATTTTAAATGGTTCGTCTTTGTAATATGCATTGTACAATTTCTTAGAAGTTCCATCACCTCCTACTTGATTCTTACCAATAATAACGGTCCAGACTCGCTATATACATCACACATATGCATGCTATTCAGGTTTCTACATTAGTCATCTTGCTTAATAATATCACAGACAGAATTTGAGATGGTATCAATTTTTAGTATAACACCAAATCTAAAATTCCTCAAACAGTAGCTAATCTCATCCATACAAGCAACAATACATCTATTCGATAAGAACATTTCAAGAATAATAATAATATATCATGATGTACACAAACAAATATCGAACTTTTAAACATAGAATTTACAACGATGTATTCAAGTTAAGGGTTGTATATTATACCTGTTAGATAGCAATTCAATATCTTCAGGATGTCCACGTTAAATTCAACTTTTATATCACATAAGTATAATGAAAGATAGCACCAAATCTATGTCAGGTTGTGATTATACTGATTTTAGAGTCATACAGTATCTACATCTTAAACGCTAGACCAGAAAATTTGTTCAAATGACACTGTAGCACTCTTTTGAAAACAAGATGCATAACATGACTCCTCATACTAATATAGTCCAATAATCTCTAGAGATATTCAATGTTGATATCTAAGCCATGCATGACCGAAGCATAAAAGCATACAGTATGAACTTGTTAAACCAAATTAAAAATAATAATAACAGGCTATTCTTTAATTGCTCTACTCAAGACTTAAAGTGCACAACTATGACTTTATGGAGCCGGTGTCGAAATGATTATGGACTTGGTTTTGCATTACACATCACAATTTTATGACTAATATGCATTATAGCAATATGCACCATTTCCCAAATAAAATGCAAGTCGGCTCCTAAGGTGCAAAAGAAATACTTATCACAGTGTGTGCTACTTCATTAATTGTCTCTCTAGTTTGATCCCTAGCATACATATACATTAACACATGAACATTGGGAAAGTTCATTTATTCCGTTCAATTTAGTCAACTAAATCAGCTTTGGCAGTTCAAGACAGAATAGCACACAACACTTCAAGAAATTTTAATTAATTAGTTATGAGCAAGTATGTGGGGGATCCAATCAGAAACGGGAACAAGATATAAACTGACCAGTCCAAGAAACCAATCTTATCAAAGACACACCGATTTACTCAAGGATATAAATAGTTACATGTATTTTGACAAAATTTGAACTAAGAAATGGATACCAAAGTACATGTACAAGTTACCAACAATCACTTAGTTCAGTTCACCCTAATATAAATCCAACGAAGAGTACTTGATATGTAATACAACCGGGAGATATTCAATGGGTTCGCTTACGAAATAAAATGCAATAAAATTGTTATGCAATGTTAATTCTTGCACTATATAACATTGGAATTCACATGCAATCTAGATTCCGTTGCACAAGTACACAATGAAATAGAATCATAGTGCTCTATAAGAAACCGAATCATGCAGTCAAAAATATGACATGAGACCAAGTGTGTGACGATTTAATTGTGAGTATCCATTAGAGGTAGTGAATTGATTTGGTCATATTAACGTTACAGTATTCATATCGGAAACCAAACCTAAAGTTCTATGTACCAGCAGACATCAGATTTCCGAACTCACAATTTAATGCAGCTAAACGAAATGAGCTCATAACAGTCAAGTTCCAATGTCTCTATTCAATCCAATTATGTCATTAGCGCACAATATTCATACTCATAGACGATTAAACAAAAATTTTAGTAGTCAGTTAGAGCCTTCTTATGCTTACTCGAACATTAAGTTTAGCAAGGTATCAATTAGCCAACAGGATAAGACAAGCCAAATAGTATGTAATTCCATGTAGTCTCAATCTACTTGTTTAGTACACTATATTCTAAATTCAGTTCAGATAACCTTTCTTTAATTTATGCATTCAGTTCCAATAAAATGTTGAAAATCTAAACTGATAATTTCAAGCCATCATCTCATGAAATCCGTCATTATAGTTAGAGACAATAATTTATATGCAAGTCCAAGAGTGGTCAAAATCACACAAGGCAATCCAATATGCATGAATCAAAGCAACAAGGATCACTCACATGAAGAACAGGGAGGTAGGAGTCAAGTATCCTCCTCCACACATCCCCACTTTGTTTTACAACTTCTTTCTCAAGAATGATGTCTAGTGCCAATTCATCATTAGAAGATTTGTAAAGGACAACGAACCCACATGTTAAAGCCTTAATTACTACTAATTCTACGTTCTACGAGCATTAACCGGATCTACTTAGGTAAGTGACCTATCCCTACATCAATTTTCATAATTAAATCACTGCTACTCTTCTCGAACATATTAACTCCTTACGCGATTAAGTAACATAACAGAATTAGTGAAGAATGACAGTTTCTACTATCCAGTCATATACACAACCACACATGCAAGGAAACAGCATAAACCTCAAGAACACGTACATCAGCAGTCATTATTTAAAGTTTACATGTTGTCATTCACAGCTTAGAATATCACAAAAATATTCACATCAAGCATACCTATAAAACCTTGCTTATAATTCATAGAAAACAGAATTGGTAATTACATTAAGGTAAGTAGTGATTTAACATTTCACACATAACATTCCAAGCAGCAGTGTACCCGGGGTCACCATGACTGTGCACACCCATCATACGTAGCAGTGAGTTGATCAGGCTCACCCCTAGCATTGACGTGTGCATACCCATGTTGAACACCCGACACCACAAGTACCCTTACGCATAGAGCATAATGCAAAATAGCTACCAACATTTCAATAATCATATTCCCACATCAGCAGTTGAATCGTGTAATTCTAACATACAGTAAAATAACAATTTCATCGTTATATCCAAACAGCAATAATTCAGTGAAACTATACCAACAACCAATATATTCAAACAGCAACCAGACAACAACCAGTCACAAACAGCAAACATTTCAGCAATTACAGACACCTTGAATCAAAACTGCTCTGATACCAATTAATGTAACACCCTCCCTTGTATGCATCCAAGAGAGTTGTTTGCTAAGCGGATTAGAGTGCTTTCGTCATATTTAAAATGCTAAAAAATAATCATAATGTTGCTAATTAAACTTATAATTGAAATCGGATTACTTACGAAAAAACAGAGTATACTTTTAAAATTTCTTAACTTGCTGAAAATATTATTTTTCTCGCAGACATTGCTGTCTTGAAAAATTCGTATAAAATCAAGCTCAATGATCCATAAAAATATTCTTTGAAATATAGAAAGGGCACGTTTGGGGCTTCGCGTGCATATAAAATAATAACAAATCGGAGTTCGTTTTCCCCTCGTAACATAACTCGCAAGACTGCTTACAAATCAGCACTTAGCAAAACATTCAGAAATTATTTTCGCAAAACGTTTTCAGAATTTTTCCAAAGTACTAGATAATCATAAAAGTCTCACAACAGCAATAAAATCATGGTTCCAACAGTAGTCTAAGGTTCTCCACATAACAATAGTACAGTCATCCAACGTCATCCAACAGACAAAATAGCAGCAAGTCCAAACAGAAGCAATTAACAGTAAATATCCAAATAATCCATGTCCTCATATGCTCTTTCATCCTCATGCAATTTTATAAAAATTGCAGCCCCAAAGGGGTGAGAAAAATCTCAGTAGTGTGATAGCAAAACCAATAATGCAACAGTAATAAACTAGGCACAAAATTATAAAACAGTCGCATCAACATTTCATTTTCCTGATAAATCTTAACATTTCATAGTGCGTATATAACGCCATCATTACGCTCTTAGCACCATCGTGCGCGTACTTAATGTAACGACCCAAAAATCATGTACTTGAAATTAGCATAATGAAATGGAATCAACGGGTCAAGCCCATATTCAGTGAACGATTAGCAGAACTAGTCCTAAGTTAGAACGAACTTGAACCCACTCTAACTAAGATAAGTAATGACCCAACTCAATGAAGTTTAAAGCTCAACCATCATCGTAGCCCAATCGGCTTAAGAATATACATAAGCTAAGACCAAGTAAGAAAGGATCTAAGCCCAAAGAAAATGCAAGCCCATTTTATGAATAAGACATGGCCCAAATAGTATACACTTAAAGACCCAAGCCCACATCACTTATACCAAGCCTTGCCCAATCACTAATGATCCAACATCTACTACCTCAATGGGCCGAAAACAACCACCAAGCCCAACCCAATTCAAAGGAACAACCCTAGATGAGGTGTCATCACATGATTGGAGGAATTTGAATGAGCTCCACCTCCCCTCAAATATCAAACTCGGCCATGACAAGAAGAAAAGGGAGTGGTGTTGCTTTCCACACTCCCTAGGCGCCACTTAAGGAAAGAATGGACAAGTAAGAGATTGTGTAAGATACACTCCAAGCCTTAACCATGCATGTGATCTTCTTTCTCCAAAAAGCAACTCTCATTTCTCTTACACACCTTGGACGACGCAAACATGATGAGAAAAGGAAGATTTCTTCTTCCACACTCCAAGCCATGCATGACACACCACAAGAACCAAGGCTTTCCCTTCTCCCTAAGCACCCTACACGGTCACCAAGAGGGTCACATGACCAAAACTCCTTCTCCTCTCAACCTCGGCCAAACCGCCCACAAGGAACCAAGAAACCTTATCACACTCAAACCCTCCTTGAATCAAGCTCCTATGACATGAAAAGAGTTGAATAAAAAATTAAGAAAAGGTTTCCCTTTCCCCCACATGTCACGGCCATGCTCACCAAGACAAGAAAGTGTTCTTCTTTCACTCAAACACTCCACACTCAAGCACCATCCTTCCCCAATGCATGTTAGAAGCTTCATTCACACTCCCAAGTAACACTCAAGTACACCTCACCAAAACCCTAAAGCAAATGATGACAAAAGCCTAAATAAAAGAAAGGGCAAAAAGCTTCCCCTTCCCCCACAAGGCTGTGCAATACCAATACATAAGGCAAAGGACTTCTCTTCTCCTCACACCTTGGCTTCGGCCATCTCTCCCTCCCAACAAGCCAAGCAAGCAAAAACACTTGAATACATCATCTTCCCTTGCTCTTGAGCCTCAGCCATATCAAGTTAAAGGACCTAAGATCACCTCAATACTCTTCTAAGCTCTCCAAACTCCCTTGTCTTCACCCACAGAGATAAGGTAAAAGGTCTCATCTCATTTCGTTTGGTGTAGACTAAGGATTTCTAAGTTCCCATTCTCCTTGTGTAGAGAAAGTCCAAGAGGTTATTGGAAGCAACTCTCAATCCTAGAAGACTACTTGAAGATCAAGTGTGAAACATTGGTTAAGAACTCACTATCATCATTAAGGTAAGATCTTATGAGCCCTTCATCTCTTCAAGCTAGTAGAATGAACCCTAACGAATTTACATGACTAGATCTTGGACTAATAAAGCCATGCATGAATCTATCACCCTTGAAATCACCTCCTAAGTATATCATCTCTAAATGGCCGAACCTAAATGGTATGCATGCACCCTCTAAATCTTCACAATATTTACTAAGCAACCTAACCCTAAATGGCCGGATCTATATGTACCCTACTAGATATTGAATATGTTCTTTAAGGTAACATGAAAGCATCTCAGTTCTTTCGTTTAATTAACCATTTATATTGTGGAGGGCCGATCTTTATCTTGGATTTAAGTGCAATCCTGTCGTAAGGATTGCAATCCGTCTTCATATTTATATTTCTGATTGGGATGTGATCCTTTTGCCAATATCCCATCTCTCCAATCCTTTCTTTATTATTTATCTCGGATTCCGATGCTGTGATCGGAATGCTTTTGATCTCTGAATTTAGTGTCCAAAGCTTTTGGAACTCGGCTACATGGTCTGTTTGCATAATTATTGAGGGTTGTGGCCTTATTGCTGTTTCTTTGCTAGGACATCTCAAGGAGGAATGAATCTGTTAGATCATTCATCATTTTATGATCATGAGGCATGTTGACTGCCCGAATTTCCTTTAGATGTCCTGTAATTATGGAGATAATACACTTGCAAATGGGCTGGCCTATAATTTCCTCTCGGTCAACTTTATATTGGCTAGCCATCACATATGTTTGAGTGCTAGTTGGTTGACCTTGCAGATGCCAGGGCCCTTGGTCGGTTTCTTTCTCAATTTATATTTTGAGTATTTGAACTCGGCTCTATGGTTAAGTTGCTTTGTTTCTTTTCCTTCTTCAACTTTTATCGCGGATTGGATCTCGCCATATCCGTCTTCATCTTTTATAATGGATTGGCTCCATTTAATAAACCATTTCTATCACGGAGGGCCGGTCTTCATTCTGACTTGGCTTCTTTTGTCGAAGCCTTATATTTAAGGAGACGCATTTTGTCTCTTTAAAGAGCATTTGCTGCTTCTTCTGGCATGGCTTTTTAATTTGGGCCCCACTTCTTTTGCGGTGCCATTTTATCTGAACCCGGCTTCATTTGCCATGATTTTTTAATTGGAGTTGGCTTTCTTCTCAATCCATGGTATCACCTTTTTTCTCGAGCCCGGCTTCTTGTGCCTCGGCTCTTCTTTCAGCTTGGCTTCTTTCACCCAAGCCTTCCATTCATCTAGGTGGATTTCATTCCATATTTGAGTGGATCTGGATCTCCTTCCCTTTTTTAGAGGGGATCTCTACACCACATGTTTGATTATTCTTTGCAAAAATAAATGCAACAGAAAAAAAACATGAAGTAGGCAATTAGCAATAATTTTGCTTCAATTAACAATCAGTAATTATCCAGGTGTAACCAGATAATAATTGCAATCACCAATTAATAATTGATCAGCATCAATCAATAATTGCCCGACTTTTCTTCATCCTGCATATCAATTACCCATCCTTTGCTTGGGAAAATAGTTAGTTGTTACAAACAACAATGTTATCTAAGTGAGTAGACTGTGAAGATATATGATATTATATATCGACAATAGAAAAAAATTAAAGCAGGAGAATTTATCTCCTCATCTGACTTGTCTTTCCAAAGCCAGTGCTCTAGGAGAAATTTTGCATTATGTTTTCCTAGTCCAATCTCATTGTCTCCAATAGGGATTTTGTAGCATGCTTTGTTGCTTAATTTCTGTTTTCTATCTTTCTCAGCACTTGGTGTAGGAATATATCATATACTGGTGCGAGAATAACAATAAACCAAGTGCAATTTCAAGTGGATGCACTTGCAGCCATTAAGCATCCTTTTTTCTGTCTTTCAAGAATCAGTACAGAAGCTTGGTGCACGATGGGTAAGACTCACATCATATTTTTGGGTATTTTTTCCCAATACAAATGCATTAATAATCAGCTCAAATTTTTCATCAGTCAATGAAAAATAAATCAATTGATAATTTGATAATAATATATGAGATAATATTGGAATCAATTATTGCAGTGAGCAATTATTTAGTATAATCAGCAATTAATGAGAATGCATCATCATTATTATCGAAAGTTATAAATCTTTTCACTTATACCGAGATGGAACGTCAAGGCTTAACTCGACTAAATCGGGCTCAGAGGTTTGGTCGAGTAGACTTTCATTCTCTCCCTTCTAAGTGATTACTCAGAATACTGTAGAAGATTGAATTTTGAGAAATCTCATAATCTTCAAACCATAGAGCGGTAACAAATTGCTGCTACGTCAGCTTTAGCCAAGGGTCCTGTCATGTTGCCGACATCGGCCTCCATGGTGTGTCGGATGAGCCAATCCCAATTGCGCCGGCTGCATACATCTTACCAGCAATCTATGTTGCAGACCAGCTACTTGGGCCTAACACTAACAGGCCCATACATATTAGGAGGGAGCCCAGTTACTTACAAGATTACTTTCAATGAACAATTAGCTATGTGATCCGTTCAGTTTGAGAAGGAAGGATACTGTATCAGTTAGTTACATGAAATAGATGAATATTGTAAGGGAGATAGTTATAAAGCCCATGAGGGGCGTAAACGAAAATTAAGAAAAGTTGGACAATCTCTCTCTCTAATTTCCCTTTCTCTCTCATCTTCTCCAATTTCTCTATCTGTTACACCCTTTCTTTATTTCTCTAAGAAAACCCTTACAATTTGGTGCTTTCATCGCTCTCACCTCCTGATTCATGGCGAAAAATACCAGATTACGGGAGCTGAATGTTCATCTCGAAACTCTGGAGCAGCAATTTCGTGCTGCTGAACTAGTTAGAGAACAACAACATCTCGATCTTCAGGAGTCACAAACGCAACTTCAGGAATCACAGCACGGGTTCCACGATTCTCAATCTGATTTCTTGCTCAGAAGACAACCCCTTGTTAATGATAACAGGGTAAGTCTCATTTTCACCCAAGAAGATATATTTAAGAGTTTTTGGAAGTTCCTTCAACTCAACCTTTGGAGCACCATCTTCCTTATCAGAATCTTTCTTTTCAAGAACTTCAAATACCTCAACCTTTTCTTCCTTCAAAGGAACTAATTCATGCATTTCAAGTTCTTCCTCAGACTGTTGACTAGAAGGTATTTCTTCTTCCACCACTTGCTCTAGAATATCAAGTCGAAAATAATCTCCTTTATCAGAAGATTGTTTTATGGAGTCAAAGACGTTGATGGTGATGGTCTCATCATTCATCCTCAACTCAAGCTTGCCATTTTCAACATCAATCATGGCTCGAGCAGTAGCCAAGAACGGTCTACCCAATAACAAAGGCATTTCAGTACCCTCTTCCATGTCTAACACTACAAAATCTGCTGGAAAGATGAACTTGTCCACTTTAACAAGAACATCTTCAATAATTCCACTCGGTCTCCTCAAAGATCTATCAGCGAGTTGAAGTGAAACCATAGTGGGTTTTAATTCAGTAATTCCCAGAGATTTGCAAACAGATAACGGCATCAGGTTAATGCTTGCCCCAAGATCACACAATGCCATGCCAACATCAGTATTACCAATAGCAATGTGAATATTGAAGCTACTTGGATCATTGAGTTTGGGTGGAAACTTCTTCTGTATGATGACATTACACTCCTCAGTTAGTGTTGTAACACCCTATTCTAATAGTCGTGGTGTTATCATTGCTTACACTTATGCGCTATTTAGGGAGCTTACTGGCAGCGGAATAAATTTCGTTTCGATTACTACTAAGTAGATGGTTACTTAAGTGTCTTAGGGAGACGGTGACTTATGTTACATAGAGGCTTGATCTTAATCTAAGTCCTATAATTTGAAACCTTTAAGATTCCTTATGGAAACGTTCCTTGCTTAGGTTCCTCTTCCACTTATCGTTATGTCTGAGTAAGAGTAAGGTTCCTTACACTATACCAAATCATGATTTAGATTAAATTCTAAAAACAACTAAGCGTAATCATAATAACCTCAAAGTAAAATAGTTAGGTACAGTCATCCAAAATAAATACTACTACTCAATGTCTAGAGATCCATCCAAAAGCTCATAATATCCTAACATCTCATCCAAAACGAAATACATAGCGTGCACATATAACTTGTTACGAACTAATTTAATACAGTCATCCGACAATAAACGTAATGCATCTTTCTTTACTTCCAGGCGTACTAGTCGCTTGCCATCCCTTACCCACATCTTCATTCTTGGCTTTTACCTGAAAGGGATTCCCCAAAGAGGGGTGAGATTGAGGGTCTCAGTAAGGACTCACAGTTGGAGCAACCTCCAAACCATGATGCTTACTCCTGCAACTGTCATATAATAACATATACAATAATAGAATGGGAGAAACATTGAAACATAGTTTGGAAAATAATCATGCTTTCATTTTATCATACCAATCCTGCCATAGCAATTACTCTCCACGGTCTTACGGACGAATACCCAGGGTCCTCGTCAGGTTGCCTCTGTGGTATTAGTGCACATGCCATCATAATACAACTTGCATGAACAAAACATTAGTTCCAAACAACCCAACATATCACTGTAATGTATCACATAACAGATTGCAGTCAAACCAACACTTTAACATAAAGGGGCGGCAACCATAGGGAAACCACTACAACAACCGTAAATCACTTTCCCAATAGTCTTGTCTTATCACTTCCCAAGAGTTCAAGGTGGTTCTGGTCCTTTCTTGTTCCTTTGGTTCGGCCTAATAACATAACCATCCTTAGTACATAGTTATAAAATTAAATATTTAAACTTAATATTCCTCTTGACATAGGTTCGGCCCTTTTAGATGAAATGCCTTAGGATATGATTTTCACTAGTTGTTCTCATGCATAGGTCCTATACATTTCGGCCATACATCATGATACTTAAGAAAACATTCACAAATTTCTTTTATAAGCTTGTTAGGGTTCGGCCATTTAAAGGTGTATACCTACAGGACATTTTTGATAACATGTTCATGGCTTAAATGCTCATATAAAATGGTTGATCCTTAAATCAAACTTTAGACTATACTTCCCTATACATCACATTCAGCCATTTTAGGTTTAGGTTGTTTAGCCAATGTTTTGAAGATTTGGAGAGTGCATGCATATCATTTAAGTTCGGCCATGTAGAGATGGTATACATAGGAGATGATTTCTAGGATGATAGATGCATGCATGGCTTTATTAGTCCAAGATCTAGTCATGTAGAGTGGTTAGGGTTCATTCTACTAGCTTGAAGAGATGAGGTCTTACCTTAATGATGATAATACAACTTTATCTAATGCTTCACACTTGATCTTCAAGGAGCCTTGAGTTGAGAGTTGCTTCCAACAACCTCTTGGTCTCTTGCTACACAAAGAGAGTGGAAACTTAGGGATCCTTAGTCTACACCAAAAGAAATGAGGTGAAGCCTTTACCTTACCTATGTGGGTGAAGACAAGAGGGTTTGGAGAGCTTAGAATAATTTTGAGATGATCCTAGGTCCTTGAACTTGCTATGGCCGAGGCTTAGGAGTAGAGAAGGATGAAGTGTTTGAGTATTTTACTTGCTTGGTTTGTTTGGGATAGGGATGGCCGAAGCCAAGGTGTGAGGGAGAAGGATTCTTTGTCTTGATGCTTAGTGTTTCACGGCCTTAGGGGGAGGGGGAAGCTCTTTGCTTGTTCTTTTATTCAAGCCTAGTCATCATTTCCTTGGGGTATTAGGTTAGAGGTGCTTGAGTGTTACTTGAGAGTGTGGAGGAAGTTATTCACATGCATTGGTGGTGAGTGAGTGATGCTTGAGTGTGAGACATCTTTCCTTGTCTTTGTTGATGGAATGGCTGAACATGTAAAGGGAGAAAAGATGGTTGTTCTTTGTGACCTTTGCATGTATTACACTTGGAATTGGTTTGGTCTTGGTGAGAGGTTTTGAGTGGGAGAAAAGCAATCCTTGCTTGCCTTAGTTGATGGCCGTGACATAGGGGGAAAGAGGGAAGATATTTTCCTAATTTTTTATTCAAGCCTATTCATGATGAAAGCTCATAATTCAAGGAGGGTTGAGTGTGAATTTGAACTAGGGTTCCCTTGCTTCCTTTGTTGTTTGGCCGAGGTTGAGAGGAAGAGAAGAGTTTGGTCATGTGACTCCTTGGTGACCGTGTGTGCCTAGGGAGAAGGGAGACTTGATCTTGTAAGGTGTCATGCATGGCTTGAGTGTGTAAGAAGAAAGCTTTCCTTTTCTTGTCATGTGTGCGTCCTCCAAGGTAGCTTAAGGGAAAGTAGTGTTGCTTTTGGTTAAAGTAAGTCACATGCATAGGTTAGGTTTGGAGTGTGGAAGAAGCAATCCTCATTCTTCCTTCTTGTTTGCGTCGTCCAATGTAGGATGGGAAAGGAGAGTTGCTTTTGGTTAAAAGGAATTCACATGCATTGGTTAGGGTTGGAGTGTATCTTACACAATCTCCTACTTCATCCTTTCTTTCCTTATGTAGCGCCTAGGGAGTGTAGAAAGCAACTCCTTTCCCTTTTCTTCTTGTCAAGGCCAAGGTTGACATGTGAGGGAGGTGAGATTAATTCAAATTTTCCAATCATGTTATGACACCTTATCAAGGGTTGGTCTTTGGATTTGGGTTGGGTTTGGTGGGTGTTTTCGGCCCATTAGGTTGCTAGGGTTGGATCATTAGTAGTTGGGCTTAGGCTTGGTATAAGTGGTGTGGGCTTGGATCTTTGTGTGTATACTATTTGGGCCATGTCTTATTCAATTACTAAAATGGGCTTGCATTGCTTTGAGCTTAAATCCTTTCTTAATTGGTCTTGACTTATTCATATTCTTAAGTAGGTTGGGCTATGACATTGTTTGGGCTTTAACTATATTGAGCTAAGTTATTACTTATCTTAGTTAGAGTGGGTTCAAACTAAGAACTAATTTTTGCTTTTCAAAGCTAATCGTTCACTGAATATGGGCTGGACCCTCTTTGATTCCATTTCATTAAACTAATTTTGATTACATGATTTTTGGGTTATTACAAATGTGACTGTCTGACATTCCTGCAGCTTATGTTTTCTGGATAACAAGTCCTTCATGAACTTGGCATAATTGGGCATGTTAGCCAGAGCTTCAGCAAAAGGTATGTTTACATACAACTTCTTGAAGATATCAAGAAATCTTGCATATTGCTGCTTTTGAGCATCCTTCTTGAATCGTTCTGGATAAGGTGTCATGGCTCTCATATATTCCGGATTCAACTCAAATTTCTTCTTTTCAGCAACAATAGGTGGCTCTTCTTCCTCACCTTTCTGAATAGTTTTCTCAACATCAGAAGGAATTATCACTTCTTTTTCTGTTTCCTTGACCTCCTTAAGCTTTTCATCAGCTTCTACATTTGTGCTTGGCTTTTCTGGAGCTGCTACCACCTTACCACTTCTAGTTGTGACAGCCATACAATCTTCCTTGGGGTTGGTAACTGTATTGCTAGGGAAGGTACCTGGAGCTCTTTCTGCAAATTGCTTAGCCAGTTGGCCAATTTGATTCTCCAAGTTCCTAATAGAAGCATTGGTGTTTTTGGTATTTGCTCTAGTCTCCTCCATGAAAGCATTTGTGTTCTTGGTATTAGCTTTAGTCTCCTCCATGAAAGCATTAGAATGCTGAGCCATTTGTCCAATTAACTTCTCCAAATCAGAAAGTTCCTTCTGTGGAATATGAGGAGGTTGCAGATAATTGTTGGAACTATAGTCAAGACCACCTCCTTGACCTCTCCTTTGAAAATTACTTCCAGAAGGAAAATTCTGATTTCTTGAAAAATTTTGTTGGGGCTTCTGTTCATACCAAACCCTATTCACTTGCAACTGCTGTGGATTATCACCCATTAGAGTAGGACACTCATTAGACTCATGAGCTTCCTTACAATATTCACAAACCACAGGAGTTGATTGAACCTTGGACACTTGAAGTTTTTCAAACTTTTCATTTAAGCTGTCAAACTTTTTGGACAACAGCTTTTGTTCAGCAAGCATAGCATCATTGCTTTCCAGCTTTATCACTCCCTTTTTTATTTGAGCTGGTACGCTCTCATTCTTATTCCTTGCCAATTTCTTTATCAAGTCAATAGCTTGTTCAGATGTACTCTGTCGAATAGAACCTCCAGCTGCACTATTAATCACCAATCTTGTTTCAGGAGATATGCCATTAAAGAAGACCGCCACCTTTCTGTCATCATCTCCCTCATAGTGCGGACACTTTCGGATAAGCTCCTGGAATCTATTCCAGGTTGCACACAACGATTCTCTTTCAAGCTGGCGGAAGTTGGTGATCTCATTCACCAGCTGGTTGTACTTCTCCATAGAAAAGAACTCGGCAAAGAACTTTGTTGATAAGTCTTTCCATGTCATGATACTATTAGCCGGCTGCCTTTCTATCCATCTGAGAGCCCTTCCCTTAACAGCAAAAGGAAATAATCGAAGCCTAATAGCATTGGCAGACACTCCATTGTGCTTAGTAGTATCACAGATCATCAGAAATCGATCTATAAACTCATGAGGGTCTTCCTCCTGTGCACCAGAAAATTGAGCCCTCTCCACCAAAGTAATCAAAGATGGCTTTAGCTCAAAATTGTTTGCCTCCATTGTCGGCCTGAGTATACTTGAGTTTGGCCTATTGAACACCGGAGTCAGAATGGTGTCCAACAATCTTGGAGGTGGGTTGTTTACATTGTTGTTACCCGCCATTTCTTGTATTGGTTGTACATGTACGTTCTTGAATTCTTCCCAAATTATCTGCTTGGCAACTTTTCGTAGTCTCCTCTCAGTCCTTGAAATTTCTGGATCAAATACAAAGTCTGTAGGAGGAAGTCTACCTCGCATAAAACTCAGAAAATTTTGTTAGTAGCACCTGCAAATACAAAATAAGATAGAACAAAATAAAATAAAATAAATAAAAATAAAAATCAATCCAATCTCAAAGATCAACGGTTATTTGTAATATTGGAATTAGCAATCCCCGGCAACGGCGCCAAAAACTTGATGTTCTCCGGCAAGTATACCGATCGCACAAGTAATATAGAAAGTAAGTAGAGTATCGTCTCCACAGAGATTGTAAACCAAGTACTACAATAACCAATCCCCTTAAGTTGGAAAACTCGGTTTGCTGTTTGGAAAAATTGCGAATTGATTTTGAGTAACAATAAGAAATAAAAGTATAGACTTATTTTTGAATTTTTATTTAAGAGAAATAAAATAATAACAATGAGAATTGATTTTAAAAATATGAGAAAAATATTGTAGCTAGAGCGCACTCACCTTATGATTCCAACTTCTTACTTTGGATTGATTTACAATACTTATTCATATAATTACTCGGATAAATTATTATCTAAGAATATTTATTAGTTAACCCTCAATTCCTTGCAAGGTTAACCTTTTAATCCCCAATTGGAACCCCAATTCCTTGCAATGTTCCTCATGGTATTAAGCAATGAACGCAATAATTTAAGCATTCGCAATTAAAAACACATCTATTCCTAGCATGCATACCAATTGTTATCCTATCCCTTTCAAGATCAAAACCCCAATATTCCTATCTAGGATTCTAACCCTCAAACTATTCTCAACTATCAGATTGATCAGTTCTAATAAAGAAAATAGAAAATACGCTCAAGGTACAGACAAAGATAATTATATAAATGAGTAAAACTAAATCAATCCATCGTAACAAGGGTTCACATAGGGCTCGTGACCCTAACTACAATAAAAGAAAACTAGCCAAGTATAATCATGGCTAAAAATAATCCAATATTCAAAAACATAAAATTAAGGAGAAAAGAGAAGAAGAACTTGATCCCAGGAATCCCCTCAGAGCTCTGCCGTCGTCTTTCTTCAGAAGAATAGGTCTGAATACCTAATTCTGTCATAAGGATCCTATTTATATGACCATTTTCTTTCTCCCAAAAATACCCCCACGGCAATAAGACGGAGTAGTTTTCTCGCAAACCGGCACCAGTTGGCGCCGGTGTGGCGCCACTTAGCGCCCAAAATGTATGCTGCATTTCAGCGCTGGTTGGCGCCGGTTCTCCTTAGTTTGGGCGCTACATGGCGCCATTCCTTGTTGACTTTTGGGCGCAAGGTGGCGTTATTCCTTCTTCATTTTGGGCGCCTAGTGGCGCCACTTTTGGTGCTAGGAGGCGCCATGTTGGCGCTGGGTAGCGCCATGTGGTAATCTCCGGTGCAAAATTCGTAAACTGGCGCGGGTTCGCGCCAGTGTGGTGCCGGTCCGCGCCATTCTTTTGGAATTTGTAGTGTGTTGCACCCGTGTGGAATTGCGTTAATAGACTTTTTATAATTTTAACTTCTTTTTCCTGTAAAAACACAACAATAGGTGAGAAATATTATTGAAAATAAAGAATCAATATAATTAGCAAATATGTATTTAAATTGCTCTCTTATGACCCAATTCTTATCAATTTTAATAATGAAAAACCACACTTGCCAGAGGCACATCACAAGTCTTTGATATGAATAGCAGGCTCTAATGACTTTACTATCCTATCATCAATATATACCTCCATATTCTTTATGAGCTGGTCTTCAAAAACTCGGTTCATCGTCCTTTGGTAAGTAGTCCCCGAAATTTTTAATCCAAATGGTATCACATTGTAGCAGTAATTCACCTTTTTCGAGATAAAAACAGTATTCTCTTGATCATCAAGATACAATGGGATTTGGTTATATCCCGAATATTCATCCATAAAGGATAACAATCTGAACCTGGAAGAACTATCCACCAATTGATCAATGTTTGGCATAGGGTATGAATCCTTCGGACATTCCTAATTCAAGTTGGTATAATCCGTACATACCCTTCATTTTCCATTTGGCTTTTTCACCATTACTACATTGGACAACTAGGTGGTGTATTGTATTTCTATGATGAATCCAGCTTCCAAAAGCTCCTTCACATGATCCTCCCAAACCTGCCCACGTTCAGAGCGAAGTTTTCTTTTCTTCTGGGCCACAGGCTTGGCCCCTGGGTATATTGATAACTTATGACCACAAAGTGTGGGACTTACTCCAGAAATTTCCGACGACTTCCATACGAAGACATCTTTATTGTTCTCAAGGTATTTGATCATTTCAACTTTAACTTTAGCTTCTAGACCTTTCCCAATCTTAGTTGTCTGCCCTTACTCTCCTATTGTTATTTCTTCAAGTTCCCCATCAGGTTCAGGTCTAGGAAATTGGGTTTCATCCCTCATATCCAATTCCACCATGTTAACAGAATTTTTCTATCTTTGTTGTTCTATTGAAGACTGACCAGCTTGATCACCCTCTCTAATCTGGGTTGGAGATGAAAATCCATCTTCAATGACCCTAACTGACCTGAAATAACATTCTCGAGACTTCTTCTGATCTCCTCCAATGGTAACCACCGTATTATGTTTACTTACCATCTTTAACTTCTGATGCTTAGTGGACACCAACATATCCCAATTATGAATAGTTGGCCTTCCCAAAATGACATTATAAGGCGATGGGAAGTCGGCTACGATGAACCCTTTTAGACTTAAATGCCACCTTCGATCCTAGGGTTAGTCTGAGGTCAATATACCCTTTAAGGGTGGTGTTTTGACCGTTAAATGCAATCAAAGTGGTTTTATAGGGCTTTAAATCTTCTTCATACATATTCATCTTCTTGAATGCATCCCATAGGATTATATCGGCACAGCTACCGTTATCTATAAATATCTTCTTAACCCGATAGTTAACCAACGTTCCACTAATTACCAGGCCATCAACATGTCCCGACATCACATCCTCTAGCTCTTCTCTTGTGAAATACAAGAGTGGTGGTTTTGGCTTGCTGATGTTTTCTTTGAATATAGGTCGCTTTCTGACTGAAAGCACCTCATTTGAATATTTTCTTCGAGCACTCACTGTATCTCCCCCTCCTCCAAGAGCTCCACTTATCATATTACATTCAAATTCTGGTTCTACAAACTCATCATCATCTTTAGCCGGCTTCTTACCCCGACTTTCCTCCTTTGGCTTCTTTTCTTTTCTCTAACCGGACTCCAGTTATGACTCTTTCTTTTTCTGTTGTTTCTCCACCCTTGTGTTTTAATTAGATATTGGCGCAATTTGACATCTCTAATATACTTTTCGATTGCATCCCTTAAATCTCAGCATTCATCTATGGTATGACTTGATCCATCATGGAAAGCACAATATCTTGCCTGGTCTAGATTGCCCTAATTCATCAAAGGCCGAGGTCTTTCAACCTTTTTCATTTCAGTTGAAGCTGCCTCTCTCCATATTCGGGATCTCGGCAGGTTGAGTGGAGCGTATTTCTCATACCTTCCTCTTAGCGGCTTTTCCTCATGTTTTTTACCTCGAAAATCATTTATCCTCATGTTTCCAGCTCTCTCAATTTTGCTCAGGCTTCTCTGATCAGCATTCTCTATTTTCATTTGCTCCAACTCAAGATACTTCTTTGACCGGGCCGTGAATTCCACCAGCGTTCTAATCAGTCTTTATAAATGGATTTCGCCAATCTTGAGGATCCATGTAACCTGCTACAACTAAGTGTACATGAACATTTTCTGATAATCCTGGGACTTGTAATGGTGCTTCTTTAAAGCGGTCCAGGTATTTTTAGAGGGATTCGTCGGGTTGTTACCTTATTTTTCCCAGAGCAAACTCTGTCTTTGGCTGCTTTTTACTAGTAGCGAAGTTCAACAAGAACCTCCCACCAAATTCCTCAAAGGACCTGATTGACCTGGCTGGCAATGAAGAGAACCACATCTGAGCTGCCCCCGTCAGAGTTGTTGCAAAAGTCTGTGTAATCAATGGTTCCTCTACACCCTTGATATACATGGCGGTATCAAAAGCATCCAAATGAACTTGAGGGTCCTGAGTTCCATCATACTTTTGCAATTTAGATAAATTAAGATTCTCTAGGAAGGGTGCATCAGTAATTCCATCCACAAAGGGGCTATCATTGTACTGCCTTTTGTGATATTTCCTCCTGTATACTCCTGACAAATCATCCAGGTTCCTTGATTGCCTTACTTGATTATAATACCAAGTATTTTCAACTCTTCTTTGCACTTTAATGTTGTTTTCTCGGATGTTAACTCCAACTCCACCTTGCAAATGACCTTTATTATTTCTCCTTTCATGTAAGCCAGGTTGTTCACTCTTAGTTGCTCCATTCATTATACCTTCAGGTCTCCTACCCCGGCTGTGAGTCACGTTATCAATCCTCCTTTGATTTCCTTTATCATGTCTTATTTGACCGAGGTCTTCTTCCTCGGTCATTCCTTTGCTCAGCGTCACCCCGACGAGGGCTTGATATCCTCAAATCATTCATGACCTTAGTTATAACCTGTCTAGGATTCGGGTTCCTATCTTGCCAAAAACTAGCTTCCAAATCCCGGATCCGCCGTGCGTCTTCTTCTCGTTGGAGTTGGTTTCTCCTCTCCATATCTTCCATCCTTTTTAGGACTGCGGTCACAGCTAGATCTGTAACCCGCTGGTCATAATTTACTTCAATTGGGATCTTCCTTACATTTGGGGCTTGTGCGCTAATTGGTTGCAGTCCCTCTACATAAGGATGATTCATAGCAGGAGTTGATGCCGAATCAGAATGCACGTCACTAACGTGGAAAACATTATGATCAATTGCTTGTTGATTCTCAGGAGCGTGTTGACTCGCTGGATCTTTATGTATTACAGGGATTTGTCTTGGCTTAGCATTTGGTACCAGTGACTGTCGATAACCACTCATGGTAGTACGTGCCATGTTTTTGGTGAGATTTAAAACGCTCGTTCCCCACAGACGACGCAAATGTTTTGTCTGTGTGACAGAGATGTTTAGCCAAGGGCTGGTAGATCAATATAGAATCTTGTGCTCTCTCTAAATACCTATGAATTAGGTATCTTGGTGGTAAGAAATCACTGTACACGATTATGAGGCCTTAGCCAAAAAGAGAGGGAGGGGGGTGTGTGTGCATAGTGATTGCGTAATAATAATAATAGAGAAAGATTAGTCCATACTTGTGGTCTTTAGCTTCTATTTATAATGTTTACCTTAGGAGGCGTTTGGTACAAGCTTTTTGGGGGAAATGCTGGGAAAGTGGGGGGAGAGAAATTTTATTCTCATGTTTGTTATAAGTATTTGTTAAAAACAATCCAAGAAAAAAAAAATTCCCATCATTTTAATTTCAACTACTCATTCTTAAAAAATAATCCCATTCTCCCCATGGTTTTCTTTTTTCCCCCACATCTCGCATTCACATAATAAAAATTGGAGACGAAAATGACTTCACGTTTGTCATTGATTCTCAAACGACGGGAAGCGTTTTCTGGTTTGTAGTGGTTGGAAGGTCTCCATTTTCAGCACTTCCATTGGCTTGAGCATTTCCCCTTTGGACGAGATTCGTCTTTCAAGCTTCTAATACAAGGAACCAAGTTAGACGACACCGTAACATGCTGTGGATCAAACAATACGACACAATCTCATGCCTCAGTTCAACAGAAGACCATTCTCTTATCTACTCTGTATGATATGAACAGTGAGAAGGAGCAGTGGATCTTGAACATTCAAAATTCTGAAAAGGGCTTCTTGACACCCCATCATGCACACAAGGTGTTCGACGGAATTAACGTGTTCGATGATTGATATTTTGTCATTTCAAGGGTAATTTTGTCATTTATGTCAAGATTCCCATCAATATTTTACAATCAACCAAACATAGCATCTGTAAAATTAACTCAACATTCTCGACAAAATTTTGGCTTATCAAACACCTTTTCGTAACTTACTTGCCGAAAAAAGTTCTTACTATATTTTTGGAAATCTTTTTTTCTCAGTAAAAAAAGATATCTCCCGTATCAAACATCCTTTTAGAATCATTTGGGTCTCTTTCTCTCCGGCCCAATCTTCTATCTGCACGTTATTCAAGTGTCCATCGTTTATTAGACCTTTAAATATACGGGTCTTACGTGGGTCCATAACACCAACCTATAGCATATAACTATTGTGATGAGTAAAACTACTGCCACGACAATTATATCTATCTGGTTGAAGCTGTTCGGAAGAGAAGACACCGTGAGCCTCCATAACTTAGTCCAGGGCATTTTTGTATGAGAAAATGGTTAATCCTTTCCCACATGGTGGAAAATAAAAATATCATGAATTGATTGGTATTTTAATTTTGGAATATGTAGTATAAAATGAAATAATTGAAAAAAAAAATTCCTCAAAATATTTTGCCTTTATTAATCTCTAAACTACGAGGCCAAATCCTCTTCACAAAAAACAGAGACCCACAACTCTAATTTAGGACAGCTGTCAGTGCATCAAGCCTTTTCCAATGACCTCTCATGGCCACCAACCTCTTTTGTCTCTGCTTTCCTTCTTCCTTCAAAACTCACAAGAACTCGATGGAAGAACATGTTGAAGTTCCTCAATATCTCATCTTCTTCTAAAATATTCTCCATATTCTCGCTCTCTAAGGAGCTCGTTCATCAATCCCCACCTCTATCAACACCTTTCTATCAACACAAGGCCTCTTTCCCTCTCACCACCATGTCCATAAATTTACAGTCACACGCCTTCGTTGGCAACCCTCTGAGATCCAAAACACCAAACCCGGGTGACCCGTTTTCACCCACAGCAGCATTCGAAACTCTCAAAAGCCGAATTTTGGAGAACACCCACAGTTCCCTTTCCCCGAATTTCAAGGTGTTGCCTTTCAGAAATGGGAGGCCCTTGGCGTCTTCGATGGGCGGCCAGTCTTGGCATCTGGGTTGGATCAGTTTGGGAGAACTCAAGGGACTATTGAGTGCCGAGTTGAACGGTGACTCGTTGGTGTATCTCGGTTCCGACACGGAGGAAGATTCCGTTTACTGGGCAATTGACGTTTCTGGGGAGCCTGGGTTGGTTGCTGAATTGGGTAGCATGAAGCTCTGTTTTGTGGAGCTGAGAACGCTCATGGTCGCTACCGATTGGGTTGATTTGAAAGCCATGGGGAACTTGGCTATTGCTGGTCACGTAAGTTAGCTTTCATTGTGATTTGTGTTTACCTTAGTGAATTTAACTCGACAACCTCGTATCAAATTTTCATGTTTTGGTTTTTGTCCCTCCTCGTACCTTTTTGGCTTCAGGTTGTTTTCCTTTGTTGAAGCCAATGCATGATTTATATGTCTTTTTTGTAGTATAGCTATGTTGTGCTGTTGAGTGATGACATTAGTTAGTGAAGAAACTTTTTTTTTTTTTTGGCGGTATGTTCTATGTTTACTGTGGGGGTCACCTTTTCCCTCTTTATAAACTAATGTTAGTTTTCCTTCTGTTCTTTAGTTTTTTGCTAACGATGGAGAGAGAATATAGAGAAGATCAGAATATACAGTGACGGTATTCTAAAGTATTACACTATTACTATCCAAACAAAATTTAGTTAGGGATGAATATGTTATTTTAATTTTTCTTTTCATTCTATTCACCCTAGATGTTTGACGTCAAATTAAGGGAGGAGAAAATTATATTCTACTTCCACATGTTCACCTCCTACTTTATTTACCCTCTTGTTCCCAAATAAAGGCTTAAACTCTGATATATGCTAAGCAGCCCTGCCTGCAAGAGTTATTGCTATTTACATCCTTGGGAATTAGTTATTACTTTTTATTGTATTGTTTTGCGGAAATATCATATTTCTTGGTGTTAAATTCTAAAATACTTATACAAGCTTCCTGCAGTTATATGATTTTCTTAATTTGTTGACCTTTTATCATACTAAGTGTATGATACCGGTAGGCAGTGTTCCTTTTCTAATTCTTGGGTTTGGCCAGGCCAGGGCACTTTTAGAATGGCATAATATATCACATTTTTGTGGACATTGTGGAGAGAAAACAGTCCCAATGGAAGCTGGCAGGCGGAAGCAGTGTTCAAATGAATCATGCAAAAAGAGGATATATCCACGAGTTGACCCGGTTTGTTATCTTCTGTTTTAAGTGTTGAGTGTTCAATGAATGATCAAGTGTTTTGCTGAAGATTTCTCTGATCACCTGATCCTATGTGCAGGTGGTCATTATGTTAGTCATTGATCGAGAGAATGACCGAGCCCTTTTGAGCAAACAATCAAGATTTGTACCTAGAATGTGGAGCTGCTTAGCAGGTTTTATAGAGGTGCATGCTTGACCTAATTTAAGACCACTTTTTTGTTTAGGTACTCAAAATGTGCTGTTATAACATGACAAAGTATAGAATATTCCAGTTAGCTTGAGTAAATAAAGGGGAAACTAATTTGAATTCATGTTCTTACTATAATAGTGAAGGGCTACCTTAATGGAAATAATATTTCTTTTGCTAAAATGACAACAAAGAGGGTGAGCTTAGTGTAGTGGTAAAGTTGTTCTTTGGTGACGAATAGGTAATGGGTTTGAATTCAGGAAACAACCTCTATGCAAGAATGCAAGGGTAAGGCTTTGTACAAGGATTTCGCTTCCCCCTATCCTCACAAGAGTAGGTTTAATGGCGAGTGGTTTATTTTCCCCTAAAATGACAATATTCCGTTTGAGATCGTAAAAACTGCTATTTATATTGTTTGATATTCTTGAATTTCCTTTCATTCTTGTAGATTGTAATTATTGTGGGTGCAGATGGCATAAACACTTATAGTGTGTTTTGATTCACTTAAATTACAGGGAAAAATTGTTTTTTTTTTTTTTTTTTTAAAAGGAAGCTATCTTGAAAGATTTGTATTATAAGCTATTTTGAATAAAAAATTAACTAATCTAGACATGAACTTAATAGGTTTTGATCAATCAAACATTCAAACCTCTCCTTAGAAGGAAAAGAATATGTCATCAATGCCCGGTTTCTTAGGCTTGAGAGTTCATTTTATGCATGGATAATTGCCTAGTTGTTTTAGTTTTAAACCTCCATCAATATATTTGAAAATTTGATTAGCTTGTCTCCCCCTGCTGCATTTAGCCAGGAGAAAGCTTGGAGGAGGCTGTAAGAAGAGAGACGTGGGAGGAGACTGGTATTGAAGTTGGAGAAGTTGTATATCACAGTTCACAGCCGTGGCCTGGTATAACATATTCTACATCACAATTTTCATTTAACTAAGTTTTTATACTTCTATTATTTCTCCATCGTTTGCATGAGATAAACATGTAGAGGTCTGGATTTCTAAACATTTGATATAGAAAATATTAATGGCTGTTTGTGCTATTTTGAAGATTATTTAGATCATTCTGAGCATGCCTTTATTGATTACTTGATGCTATTACTTTTTAGTCTTAACTGGAGATTAAATCCCCTTAGTCTTTTGATTCTGTTTCTTTATTTTGCAAAAGTGCATGTGGCTAATGGAGGATGTGAATAAATTTTCTCCAAATTTTCATGTTAGTTCAGGATCTGTTATGGAGGTACTCTATTTTTTCCTTTATCATAATATAAACAGCAAATTAATCAATTGTAGTCCTGTGGTGGTTTGATTTGATCATATTCAAAATAACATAAATCAGAATTAATGTCTTGAATATGTGAAGTATACATTAAAGTTGTAATTTTTTTTGTATGTTGGCAGCTTTAAAAAGCAGTTAGGTACAGGTTAAGATAATCTAATGTACTGAATTAACATTTTCTTGTGTTTTCTTTTCTCATCAAATTTATATTTTCCCATCTTTTGTATGTTAATAGTATCTTTTCTATTGGCTTTGTTTCTAGTTGGACCAAATAGCATGCCATGCCAGCTTATGGTTGGGTTCTTTGCATATGCAAAATCCCTTGAAATAAATGTGGACAAGGAAGAGTTAGAAGGTATATTCTCCACCAGCATTTAATTGAATTGAGATGTTTCCTGCCCCCACGTGATGCTTTTTTTCCTTTGATTTGTATTAATGACTTCAAGTGGCAAGTGAAGATCATATTTATGAGTGACACTTGCATGCTGTGTTTGGATGCATGGTCTGGCAGAGAATTGAGCCTTATAGTGATGGACTTGTGCAGCTGAAATCCCGGCCTCACTATGAACTTATACATACAGTGTGTGTGATAGGAATCAACCAAGAACAGAAGCGAAAAACAACACAAAATGGAAGTGACTTTGTATTAATGTGGAAACTTATCAGGACAGTATCACTGGACAGAAATAAGAAAAGAGTAACAACGGTGAAACTAGAAAATTACAGAGAAAATAACAGAAAAACTAAAATATTTCTGGAGTAGTTCGAGAGGCTCCAAAGGTCTCCCATTTTGCCAGCCCAAGATAGTCCCAATTTCCAACCTCCTCTCTCACATGCCACTGGTTCTATTTAACAAACTCTTGTAACCACTTTGCCACCTCAGCAATGATTACGCCTCCTTTCTAACAGAATTGCATCCTTAAGGTGTGTGTGTTGTTATCTAGAATATTCCCTAATGTTGTGGAGTCATCCTTAGTGTCGTATCAATACTCCCTCTCAATAATTCACCTTGTCCTTAGGGTGAGGTTTGCAAGAACCTTCCACCGAAATCTCATTGTGGAAACTCATGTGTGCCCCAAGTATGATAATGGCCGCGAGGATCCCATTGTCCATCTTGATCATGAGAATATTGGTGTTGGATAGCAACCTGAATCTCTAGAGGTTTATCTCCTTGAATATGATAATATAGTGTTAAGAACCTTGGGATACACCACCCCAAAAGCTAGCTCAAAGGGTGGGAGTGCCCAATGCCTTATAAACTCCACATTAGTTGCACATACAACCAATGTGGGACTATATATCTCAACACGTCCCCTCACACAAGAGCCCATTGGGCTTGAAGAGTGGACAATGCAACAGGCCCAGCCTACCTGTGCTAAGAAACTCCACAAGAGAAAGTGGGGGACGGCGAGGCTCTGATACCATGTAAAGAACCTTGAGATACACCACCCCAAAAGCTAGCTCAAAGGGTGGGAGTGCCCAATGCCTTATAAACTCCACATTAGTTGCACATACAACCAATGTGGGACTATATACGTTACTTGTGGATAAAAAGAAAAGATAATCGTGGAAAAAGGCGGAAAGGCATAACTCCAAGTTCCAAGTCAGTTAGCAGGGGCAGCCCTTTACCAGTGAGATTTGCCGTAACTCAGAAAAACTATGGGTAGCGATAAACCGGCTTGTCAATTCTGAGGGGAGGCATGCAAGTTTCAGGAAAGACTATTGATTTGGAAGAGAGGAAGGCCGACTGAGAAGCCCTTACCGTGCTTTATACTTTATGGGGGGCTTCTCAGTTACAGTCAATAAGAAGAAAATCCTTACCTCTCGATACCAACTCGGCGACAACAAGGCGGACGTGTATGTGCAACTAATGTGGAGTTTATAAGGCATTGGGCACTCCCACCCTTTGAGCTAGCTTTTGGGGTGGTGTATCTCAAGGTTCTTTACATGGTATCAGAGCCTTGCCGTCCCCTACTTTCTCTTGATAGTCTATCCCATGAGTTTGAGTGAATCCCTTAGCAACCAGTCTGGCCTTATACTTGTTGATGCTGTTATCTGCATTAAACTTTATTGTGAACATCCACTTGCAACCTACTGTTTTCTTTCCTCTGGGTAATGCTACAGACTCCCAAGTTCCATTTTTGTTGAGTGCATCCATTTCTTCAAAGACTGCATTCCTCCATTTTGGATCATCAAGTGCTTCTTGGATATTTTTTGGTATTTTTGTACTGTCTAACATAGTGTTGAAAGCACGAAAACCTGGGGACAACTTTTCATATGTGATATGATGAGAAATAGGATGAGCAGTACAAGATCTAGTACCTTTTCGGAGAGCAATAGGCACATCTAGGTTGGCTGTATCAGTGTTGCTGGAACTAAGACTCGAGTCAGAATCCTGGCAGTCTAGAGGCTCCTGAGGTGATTCTCGCCTGCTGTAAAACTTTCCCCATTTCCCGGGAGGATCTCATTATCTGACACATTAACTCCCCCTGTCTTTTTCATAATGACTCCCCCTGTCTCCAACGGCAAAGGCAAAACAACAGAATCATTTGGTTTCCAAGACTTATCTTCATCAACCCCAATAGACTCCCCCTGAAGAGAAGTCGAAGGAGAAAAAGATTGTCTCTCATCAAATGTGACATCCATAGAAACAAAAATCTTACGAAGTGAAGATGAGTAACACTTGTAGCCCTTTTGGTTAGGAGGATATCCTATGAAGACACATTTAATGGACTTAGGATCGAGCTTGGACCTTTGATGGGAAGGAACATGTACAAAAGCCACACAGCCAAACAACTTGGGAGGAAGGGAAGAATGAGCCCGAAAAGAAGGAAATATGTGGGTAAGACAAGATAAAGGAGATTGAAAATTTAGGACACGAGAAGGCATCCGATTGATGAGGTATGCTGCAGTCAAGACAGCTTCCCCCCACAAATATTTAGGGACATGCATGGTAAACATAAGAGCTCGAGCAACTTCAAGGAGATGTCTATTTTTTCTTTCAGCCACCCCATTTTGTTGAGGGGTGTTAGGACAAGAACTTTGATGAAGAATACCATGCTGGCTGAGATAGTTTCCAAGAACAGAATTAAAATATTCAGTACCATTGTCAGTTCGAAGAATTTGGATAGAGGTCTGGAACTGAGTTTGAACCATAGCATGAAAGTTTTTAAAAATGGATGCAGCGTCAGACTTATCCTTTAGAAGGTATACCCAACATACCCTAGAGTGATCATCTATGAAAGTTATAAACCAACGAGCACCAGAGATATTTTTTTCACAGGCTGGACCCTATATATCACTATGAATCAAGGTAAATGGAGAAGAATCATGATGGACTCTAGGAGGATAAGAAACACGAGAATGTTTTGCAAGCTGACAAATATCACAAGAAAAAGAACTGGGATTTTTATTGATAAATAAGCTTGGGAACAACTTCTGAAGATAAATGAAATTTGGGTGTCCTAACCGACGATGCCACAACAAAACATCATTACAATCATCAGACAAACATACCGAGTGGTTCACAAAATTTTTTCCTTCACAAGAATCTTTTTCTAAATAATAAAGTCCTTCTTGAAACTTGTAGATCGGCTCCTTCTGTTTCGAATGGTGCGGATCTTGGCCGGAAATGTCGCCGGAAAATTTTTCCGACGGCTGCTGACGGTGGCTGACGGCGGTGGAAAGCTGGGATTTTGCCTTCTACAGTGATTGGTAGCCTTACTTTGCTCTTGGGACTTTGTAGGAAGGGAAAATAACCTTAATAATGGTTGGAGGTTGAGTTTTCCGGCGTTGTGCCGCCGGTTTGACGGTGGTTGTGGTGGCTGAGTTTTCTCAGGACCAACCTGCTCTGATACCATATTAAGAACCTTGAGATACACCACCCCAAAAGCTAGCTCAAAGGGTGGGAGTGCCCAATGCCTTATAAACTCCACATTAGTTGCACATACAACCAATGTGGGACTATATATCTCAACATATAGGTTAGATGTACCCCTTGTAGATCAAAATCATGAGTGGAGATAACATTGACCTGGTAGACTTCTTGAACAGAAAAGATTCCTTCAAAGTCCTCAGCTCCAACGTTTATGTCCATGAAATTCTGCTTCCAGCAACAATTATCATCCAAGGTTGCTGATTTAGGGGAACTACATTTGACCCAATGTCTATATTTTCCAGGAATAGAACCATATTTCTCATTGCGGCATACAGAACTGTGGATATTGACCAAAACCAGAGAAAAATCAACATTAAAGAATGGGTTTTTAACCATAGCATCGATTTCAAATGGAGCAAACATAAATCCAACAACATTCTCAATAGGAGCAGCAATAGCTGATAAATGACATACACCAGGCACAACACCAAAGAAGATGTTTCCGTTTCCTTTTGTTTGTTTCTTTTGTGGTTTAAAAAATTCATCCTGGTTGGCACGAGCTTGATGGATGTAATACCCCAATTAATAATCAGTTTGTTAACTAACATATGGTCTTAACAGCATAGCACACCTGAATAAAAATAGCAGAAGACTTAATTTATTTCTTTATGTTTACATAATGTAATTGTCATTCCTAATAATTTTTCTTTCCAATTATCTTATATCTGTACAATCCCATACCTGTACAAAACTCCTATGCTACAAAACCTGTGATCATAATTAATGATCATATCATTAACCGAATACAATATCACATACCATTCCGGATAAAGTCTCACGGACAGCATCTGGGGATTGAATCCCACTAATAACTCTTGTACCTGATAACAAATAATCTAATCCATATAAGAACCTATTCATATATGTACCAGAAAATGGCTCTGTGCCATTACTGATAATATCACACAATATAATATACATCATGTATATAATCCTGATATACCTTAATTCACAAACATACAACTACTGGTGTCCATCTCAAAATACCTATCTGTCTACATAGCAGTGCATGATACTATAACATGCACACAAAATATAGATATCCCAACATCTATAATCTTCATTGATCCTGTTTGCTCTAACCATGTGCGGGTCCCTTGTCCTGTGATGGTTCTCCTGCTACTGCTTTACCTGAAATATATATCCCTAAACGGGGTGAGAGACATCTCAGTAAACTTAGGGTTTGTGGAGTATTTTCCATCCATGAGTTCACTTCTTGCATGAAAGATCAAATAACATAGGATAGAATACATCATATATTTCAACATACACACAACATATCCAGTGACTATACCCCATGGCTATATCCCACATTAGGAAAGTCCATATATACTTGTAAATTATCCGGGCTATACTCCAGGGCTATGTCCCACATTAGGAGTGCCACTGTATACTTCCCGGCACCATGAGTCCGACAT